TCAGACGCATTTACGTCCGCGCGGTTTATGAGGATAAAAGCCTTTGAATATTTTTCCAGACACATTTAGCTGCTAGAAGTTAGTCAGATCACGTTTATATGTTCTCCTTAATGCCAACTGTGTAAATAATCATTGATGAGATGCTTATGATAAGCCGTTGTTTGTTTACCTTCAAGCTTTGCGTGCGCATATGAGCGCCAGCACACGCAGATAATATGAACATCTCGACATGCGAAAGTGATCCTGCGAAAGTTGTTCACAATATTGATCATCCACAGAGTTTGTAATGTAGTCAAATGTTTACAAACACAAGCGCAGCCGTTTAAAGCTCATTTCTGCTTAATGATGTCAGAATTTACCTGTATTTTGGAATGGATGTGTGAATGCTCTTTTCCGGAAAATTTCCGTAACGTCCTCGCCTGTGTGAACAGGGCTGTTTTGAATATACCGGTAAAGTCGTTCTGGAAATTTTCCGGATATTTACCGTATCATTGTGTAAAAGGGGCTTATGTCTCTCGGCTGTCCTGTGAACGCCTTGGGATCCCCTGGAGGATCCCCAGAGGGAGGTCTGGGGTTCTAAGACTGCTGCCCCCGCGACCCCAGAAAAGTGGCAGAAAATGAATGAATGAATTCTGTCCAATTACTTTTGGTCCGTTAACAAGTGGGAGGCAAACATGCAAACTGTTGTAATTCCTACAGCGTTCACCTGATTTGGATGTAAACACCCTCAAATTAAAGCTGACAGACTGCAGGTGAAGTCATTTCATTTTAAACCAACTGTGTTGATGTGTGGAGCCAAAACTGTTCGAATTGTGTCGATGTCTCAATATTTAAGGATCGAACTGTACACACTCACACACACACACACACACACACACACACACACACACACACACACACACACACACACACACAAGCAAGGAACTCACTCTCACACACACTCAAATGGAAAAAAGCTCTGCGCTATTTTTATTATTCAATCTTACCCTGCGCTGCACCCACACCCATAGACTATACAAGTCTAAAGAAATCAAATCAGCTTAAATCAGTGTCCACAAGTCAGTAAAATCACACAGTTGAGTGTGTGTGTGAACGAAAGCAGAAGTCAGTTGTTGTTGTTGTGGATCAATACTCTTCATTTGTGCTGCGCTGCAGTCTCGTCATGCTAATGCTAACGCTACACGCTTATAGAAACCAGACCCAAACATACATGTCATATACAGGCTGAGCAGTAAGACAGAGAATTAATCATGCAGAAATATACACAAATATGAATCTAGACATGGATCCCGCCAGAAATGTTCAGAGTCATATTTATGAAGGTAAATCAGTAAACAAAAAGTCAAACAAACACTGGTTAGCGTCTGTTCATATCACACTGTACCCGCGCAAATACACAAAGACTCTCGGTTCCCATATAAACACATTAAAGGCTGACCTCAGAACATTGAATATTCAGAAACATGCTCAACAGCTTAGTCCCTTTATTCATCAGGGGTCGCCACAGTGGAATGCACTGCCAACTATTCCAGCATATGTTTTACACAGCGGATGCCCTTCCAACTGCAACCCAGTACTGGGAAACACCCATACACTCACATTTACACACACTCAAACGCTACAGCAATTTGGTTCATTAATTCCCCTATAGCGCATGTGTTTGGGCTGTGGGGGAAACTGGAGCACCCGGAGGAAGCCCACGCCAACACGGGGAGAACATGCAAACTCCACACAGAAACACCAACTGACGCAGCCGAGGCTCGAACCAGCGACCTTCTTGCTGCGAAGCCACAGTGAGCAACCGTGCCGCCTTATTTTTGTGCAGACAAGCTGAATTTAATGTGTTCAATTTAAAGGGACCGTCACCCAGAAGATGATTTACTCTTACTTTACGCCCGATTCACACGAAGCTTCAGCGTCAGCGCTTGACAGAGGGCATAACTGAAGTTGGGGCATACGTGATCGTCATAGCAGCGTCAGCCAATGAAATTAGTCTGCAATCGGCTACTGTCTGAGCTGGTGTATTTGCATACAGCGATCTGATTGGCTGACGCTTCCGTAGGCGCTTAAAAAGTTAAGAAAGTCCCAACGTCTGCAGCCAGCAACTCCACTGAAGCGGCGCCGACGTATCCACAATGCAGTTCAGCAACACCTGACATCGATACGCTGGCGGTTCATTCCACTGTGGCGACCCCAGATTAATAAAGGGACTAAGCCGGAAAAAAAATGAATGAATGTTGCAGTGGTGATGTCAAGTCGTCATAACAAAGACATCTCAAGCAATGCCACCTTAATAACCCAGCTTACCAGAAGACATGGATACATCCTCATTCATCAGACCTCTCGTGTCATAATTATAAAGGTGTCCTGACTTATGAATTACAAAGGGGCCTTATGAACACCCCCTTCAAATCAAGTGCAACCCAACACTTGTGTTACTGTGCAAAACAATAGAATCTGATTAAAAATCCATCAGTAATAAAAGTAAGGCAAAGACTGGATCAGGATGATGTGGAATGATGATGCCGACTCTCAGACATGCACACACACACACACTTAAAGTGCTAAAGGAGTTTCGGTCAAACACTAGTATGAGCTTCTGGATGTTTCCCTGAGACAGCGATGAAGAAATGTCCTTCGTCCCATTCAACAATAACAACACAAAAAAATCATTATCACTTTACTTTGATGGTCACTACTGCTAAATGTTAAATTTCAGGACCTAAAATCACAAACCCTGGCAATCCAAGTCATTAAAACGCAAGCAGTTGCTAATTCAATGTGTTATTTTTGTGAGTTTGTGTTATTCGACAAGCTTTTGATTTCAATATTTTTGGCATTGATTTTGTTCCATAATTATCAATCAACAATGTGTTTTGTGGGACCATCAAAATGAAGATGGCAAAACAATCTTGTGACGTTACGTTCATCCCAATCAAACACATTTAATCCATTACTACATCAACACGATTATTAAAATAACAAACATTCATTCCTTCTTAAAATCATATTCAATTTATAAGCGTTGCATTACTGTGTAATATCGTGTGTATGACACTGCAAACAAATGCTCATCTTACACAGAGTTTTCATCTTGTTTCTATTCCAAATATATATAATATAAGCAACAAGTAGTCTCGATTTCAGAAATAATGAGTCAAAATATAATCAAGTCTTAAATCAATTAAGACTTTCCTTAAAACATGCAAAATAGTCTGCCAACATGGTACTAGGTTTCACCAAGTCAAATGTACGTCTTTTTAAGACCAATATTATTAAGATTTTAAACTTGCAGGTAACAATTTCACATTTAAACATATAGAAATCTAAAAGCTTTTGCCAGTCAAACACAGCACAGCCATCACAGCGAAATGGAGAGATTTAAATGGACATACCGCGCATATCGAGTTATGCACTCCCTGATAAACATGCAAAGTGTCTATTATTATTAATATATTGTATGCACTTATGAAACGAAAGTTTTTAAGTAATTATTAGCAGGTTATTGATGAAGCGAGTTAAAGAGAATAGCTGGGGAGAATCGCGTACAAGCAATGACCGTGTTTGTAGACATTCAGGATGCACGCGCAGGGAGGTGGCAGAAAAAAATTGGGAGCGCTAGCATTTACAGCGAGGGAATGACGTCCGATGCGGTACAAAGTTGTATTAGAGATAAGTTATATTGATTACATGTTGTATATATTATTTACCTAATGCTTTCAGTGTATTAAAACAGCTCGTCACCCAGTGATAAGCACAGTGATTCAGCTGAATTAACGTTACAGTAAGCGGCGTTCGTCTGATAGTCCCATCTGCGATAGCACCCTCCCAATGGATATTGGAGAAGTCGAAATGTCCGAGCATCCAGCCCCAAATATACAACTCTCTCACTGAAACTCCACGTGATTTTACAAGAGAGAAGTTAAACGCCTACAAGTCTTTGGATGTCAACAATGTTGTTCTGTGTGGTCATGTGCAGAAATAATGCTCCATGATGACCACATTCAACACTATGTAGAGCTAAAAACCGAGATTCTGCCTAGCCAAAGACAAGGAAAGAAGACAGAGCCGTACAAGACCTGGGTGATCATCAACAAGCAGAACTACTGCATTCTGACAGCCAACTGCTCCTGTACGGCAGGGTATGTGAACACACACATAGAGGTAAAGTTGGTTTTATATTCGCACATTCTGACTTTCTCCTTAATAAAATTATTTCATAAAAGTGTTATTTGCAAACTCTAAATACTGAAATCTTATAAGCAGCCAATGGCTATCAAAGTACAACACTGTTCACGGTCAAATAAACAGTGTCTATGTTGTTTTCAAGTCACACTTGCAGCTTATTATAAACATCTGCTGAATCATTGCTGCAATCGAACACCAGTAATGTGTCTGAATTTGGCATCCTACCACACATCACCACATGTTTGCTACTGCAACCGGTCCCTCAACGGTTGACTTAGGTTGGCAATTCATCTATACAAATTAATGCATTTCTGTCAGAAAACCTTCATTTTCATGCCTATTTATACATATTACGTCCACTCACACTTACTTCTGTAAATAGTTTTTGTGTAAAAAGAAGATCATGTAAAGGGATATATTGCTGTTATTATCATGATGAATTGTTTTCAGTTTTCTTTTCCTGATCAGGAATTATTATAATTTTATACATTTTTTAAATGCTGTATATTGTCTCACAGCTGAAATAAACATTTCTGTGCAATACCTGGACAGCTTTTGAAATTAAGACCTGTTTAATTGGTTTAACACTATATTTATGTGTATCTAGGATTTTTTAAAAGCCTAAATTTAAGAGTTTTTTAGACCCAGCGGACACCCTGGGGTAAGAAAAATAATCTTATGTCAAAAGGAAAAATAAGATGACTTTGCTTACCCCGTTGTCAGATTATTTTGCTTGTTTTAAGGCAAAACTCACTTAATTTTGACTCATTATTTCTGAAAACAAGACAATACTCGCTGCATGTCTAGAAAATGCTTCTTGATTTGAAAGTTTAGATATTTGGAGTAAAAACAAGACAAAAACTCATCGTTTTTTTTTTTTTTTGCAGCGCACATGGTAATGCATTAAAAATAGTTAAAATAGTAGATTAAATTCTTTAAAATTAAAACGATGCATGTTTTTGCTCTCTCCGGACTACCACAATTGTGTTTAAGAGGTAAAATAAGTCACAAAATCTTGTGCAGTGTGTTTTTGTGACCGTCCGGCTGTTGTGTGGTGTTTAGTTCACAGGAGAGCTGCTGAAGTGAAGGATTGTGGGAGTTTGATGCCGATCTGAAACGCTCAGTGACGTGTCTGAAAGAGTTCAGTGCAGAAAGGCCCAAGTGAAGGACAGAAAACCAGAGAAGGAGAGAGCGATCACCTGAAACACACGTCAACAACGTTAGCTGCGTTTCGGTGGCCAACAACATCAGTCACTCATCATGTACGTTTAGTAATTGATAAAGCACATCCAGGAGGTTGTTTTCACAGATCAATACGCGGCTGTATGAATTTGCATAGTCATTCGTGACTACGCAAGGTCTGTTATTCCTAGATAACAACCGCTAAATAACACAGACTCATCCGGGAACTGAAAATCACCTTGATTGTCAGTGAATGCATTCACCTCCATATACTTTCATCCACATTTTAACTGTGTTTGACTGTTTGGCGCCATCTAGTGTCTAAATAATGCACAGGTTAGCATATACTCCATTCAGTTGATTTATTTTCTGATAGCTTTGCATTAAATGAAAGGATTAATAAACTATTACAGCTCAAAACAATATTTTGAGTCTATTTTTTTATGTTTTGTGGCAAGTAGCCAGTTAATTCGGATGGTTGTTTTCTCAGAATAAAGACTTCAGTCTTGTACAACAGTGCTGAGCTTCACAGCGGGCTGCTGATAAACCTGTCTGTCTTTATTCTGCGATAACAACCTCCTGCATGTACATTATCCTGCTTAGTACTCAGCTACTTGTTAAGAAATTTAATTAGAAAACACTGATCTGTAATAGTTTATTAATTATTTACTAAATGCTGACAGAAATAAAACAGCTGATGGAGTATACACTAACCAGCGCATTATTTAAACACTAGACGGCATCAAACAGTCAAAAACAGCGGCGTGACTGACAAGCATATGTGAATGTATTTACTGATGGTCAAGTTGCTTCTCAGTTCCTGGATAAGTCTGTGTTATTCAGCGGTTGTTTTCTGGGAATAAAATACCTTGAATTGACACGGCTGACCAATCAGAATGCAGTATTGCACTCGTTTTCTAATTAGTTTATGAATGAACTTAACTATGAACAAAGAGACTGAAATATGAACACATATCAGTTGTTGATGTGTGCAGATGTGCTGTGTGTGTGCGCGTTTTCTACAGAACTCACTCAGGTTTGGCTCTTTTGGATCGTGTGGCGGCTGACAGGTTCAGTCCTCCCTCTGTACACAAGAGAGAAGTGCGTGAAGAACAGCTCTATATTCAATTCAATTTGATTTATATACTGTTTTTTACCATGTAGATTGTGTCAAAGCAGCTTCACATACAGCTAAAGTCAGAATTATTCGCCCTCCTGTATATTTTTCCCCCATTTTCTGCAGATTTCTTCAGCACATTTCTAATCATAATAGTTTTAATAACTCATCTCTAATAACTGATTTATTTTCTCTTTGTCATGATGACAGCACATAACATTAGACTAGATATTCTTCAAGACACTAGTGTTCAGCTTAAAGTGACATGTAAAGGCTTCACTAGGGTAATTAGGGTAAAGTTAGGGTAATTAGGCAAGTCATTGTATAACAGTGGTTTGTTCTGGAGACAATCCAACACTAATATTGCTGAAGGGGCGAATAATAATGACCTTAAAATGGCTTTAAAATTATTAAAAACTGCTTTATTCTATCTGAAATAAAACAAATCAGACTTTCTCCAGAAGAACAAATATTAGAGGAAATACTGTGAACAATTCCTGAATCTGCTCAACATCATTTGGGGAATATTTGATGAAGAAAGAAAAACTCACAGGAGGGAGAATAATGCTGACTTCAGCTGTGTGTGAAGTTCTGGTGTAATTGTAATTTCTAGTAAATTGAAAGTGCTTCAGTCCAGTTTCCACAGGTGTAGTTCAGTTACAGACGTTACCTTTGTAATAATCGAAGAGATACAGCAAGACCACTGCCAGCAGAGCCACTGAAACAGGAGAAACACACACTTAAGGCAAGGCAAGTTTATTTATATAGCACATTTCATACACAGTGGCAATTCAAAGTGCTTTACATAAACAAGAATAAAAGAAACAAGTCAAATAAAAATAAAAACAAATAGTAAAGATGAGTAAAAAAACAAAACAAAAAAAACGTACTTACTTGCAATATAATTCCTCATTTACACTAACAGTGAAACAAAGCGGCAAGCGACTGTTAATTCAAAGGCTCATGAAACATTTGACAAAACAGCAACTCGCTTATTTTCTTGCCATTTTTTTAAAAAACGAAAGCGAGGCTGCGGTGAGGAGAAACCCAGAAGTATAGGTTCAGTACTGTAAACATTGCAACAACATGCTGTAGACTACAATCCTCCATGATTTCAGTGTAGATGGGGTGTAAACATCACTTTAACATCATTCAGTTCAGTTTAATTGAATCAATTAAAAGCATATTAGGCATCAAACAACATCATAATCTCTTTAAGAGTAATATGCTTAAGTGTCCTCCTAGGCTTCAGCTCATGGCACCAGGTAAACACAGTGGGGGCTTTCCTGCTTAAGCCTATGTAACCCTGTGAGTGATAAAACACCCCAAGACCCCGTGTGTTTACTCACTGCACAGGCAGGCGATGAAGAAGACCTCCAGGAAGAGATATCCTCTGACGTCCAGTATACTCCCGGCAGCGATGGACATCACGGCCAGACCCAGATTCTGGATGGACTGCATGCTGGACAACAGGTCAGAGCGGAGTTAAGGCCCGTTCACACCACGCACAATAATGATGAATATATATATTCGTATTGATGAACGATAATGATCTGTTTATGTTTAGACGATGCTTTTGATTCTGCATTATCTCCTGTAACCAGCAGGTGTCCTCAGTGACTCATCTGACCAGTGAATGCAGCTCATGTAATCAATCGAATCAAACCGATTACATCAAGCACAACAGAAGGATAAATATATTTGTGGGCGTCACGGTGGCGCAGTGGGTAGCACTACCGCCTCACAGCAAGAAGGTCAATGGTTCGAGCTTCGGCTGGATCAGTGGGCGTTTCCGTGTGGAGTTTGCATGTTCTCCTTGTGTTTGAGAGGGTTTCCTCCTGGTGCTCCGGTTTCCACCAAAAGTCCAAAGACATGCGGTACAGGTGAATTGAGTAAGCTAAATTGTCTGTAGTGTATGAGTGTGAATGAGTGTGTATGGATGTTTCTAGTGATGGGTTGTGGCTGGAAGGGCATCCGCTGTGTAAAACATGTGCTGGATAAGTTGGCGGTTCATTCTGCTGTGGTGACCCCTGGTTAATAAAGGGACTAAGCTGAAAAGAAAATAAAGAATGAATGGATGAATATGTGTGTCCACACAGACGAACGATAAGTATCTGTTCATTATTAGATTCTGCATTATGCCTTGTCACCAGCAGCAATTGACTGTGAATCCAGCAAGCGAAGTCAGCTCTCCTGTATTTTCAACACAAACACACTGAAAGGCTTCCTGCACTACTTTTATATGTACATTTTGATTTCCCAGCATGACTTTCATAACTGCCATACATCATTATTTCCTATGCTAGAACCAATTGTTTCCACTATAGTCATGATCTTTAACTAATCTTTTTAAGGAGGGCTAAACATCCTCAGTCTGTAGCTTTAAATAATGCCTTCATTTTCTCTGCATTCTGATTGGGTATCGGGTGTTTTAATCTTCATCAGCTGATAAAAATCCTCCTGAAAGTGACGATATCGTTCCACTGCATCTTTATTGTGCTGTGAACTCTGCTACTCTTCAACAACTTTACCTTCATTAGTTATTGTGGTTGGCGTGAGCTTGCCTTAATGTGCAAGACAATCGTGTGCCATTTATCGTTCAGACTTAGCGTACATCATTTCATTGGGTGCATCAGATCACTCACAATCCGTAGGCCGTCCCCAGCTGATGCTCCGGCACCACAAACGCCACCATGGGCCACAGAGCGCAGGCCAGCAGAGAGTAAGACACACCTAGG